TGTCTATGTGTCCATCCTCTATCAATGTCTGTCTACCTATCCATCATCTATCATCTGTCTATTTATCTACCTATGTCTACCTATCCATCATCTATTATCTGTGACCATCTATGCGTCCATCATCTATCATCTGTCTATTTATCTACCTAAGTCTACCTATCCATCATCTATTATCTGTCTATGCGTCCATCCTCTATCAATGTCTATCTACCTATCCATCATCTCTCTCTTCTTCCCCCAACCCTGGTCTATCTCTCCCCTCCATCAGTAACTGCCCCTTGGACATTTCAAATTGGATATCCCATTGGCATCTCCACCTCAACACGTCCAAGCCTGAGCTCACTAACATCTCCCTCAGGTTTGCATCCCCAGGTGTCATGCTCAATTTCTCACTCTCACTGGCTCCACGTAACCCAGTTAATCGGCAGACATGGTTGCTGCCATTTCCCAGTCCCGCCATCTCACGTCTGCACACCCCCCCCACACAGTCCCTGACCATCACTCACCTGACTAGTGAATGTCCTCCTAACTGGTCTCCTTGTCTTAAGTCTCTGCCCATCAATTACTGTTTATCTGACATGTAGCTACCAAGTGACTTTCCTAAAAATGACCGTGTCACCCCATAACACAGTCAACTCTAGGGTTCCTTGCTGACTCTGGGAAAAAATACAAACTGCTGCCAGCCTGGCATTCAGAGAACCTCGTAGCTTTGTCTCTTGTCCATGCTGCTCTCCGTGCATGTTAAGATCCTGCCATGCCTTCTTCCATCTCCCAAGTCTGTGCTGACATACCCATCACCTTCCCCCCAGAGTTTTCTGATGCTCCTAATTGTGAGGGTGCTCTTTCCTGCAGCTACCTTGCATTCATTTTGTAGATTATCAGTAGGCTTTTAAAGCCCTTCACAACCCGAGCCCAGTCTAGATGGTGCCGTGGATAGAGCGCTGGGCCTGGAATCAGAAAGGTACAAGTTCAAATCTGGCCTCACTTACTAGCTGTGTGACCCTGGGCAAGTCATTTATCTTTTGCCTGCCTCAGTTTCCTCATTTATAAAAGAGGGATCTTAATAACACCTACCTCCCAGGGCTGTTGGATCAAGTGAGGTATTTATAAAGCACTTAGCCTGGCACACAGGAGGTGCTTATAAGTGCTTGTTCTCTCTCCCCTACCTCCTTCCAAACTGGCCTCCTCTTAGTTTCTTAGTTGGGACGCTCACTTCATCCCCTATTTCTGGGCCTTGACACTGGCTGCCCCTCCCTGCCCAGCCTTACACCTGCCTGAAAGTGCTCTCTTTGAGAACCACCTTCTGCATGAACTCTCCTGATGTCAACTACTAGTGCCTTCTCTCCCAAGGCATCATGTACCTGTTGGGATTCATTCACTTTATGTGGCTGATAGACAGATGGATGGATGGATAGATAGATGGATAGATAGATAGACAGATGGATAGATGGATAGACAGACGGATAGATGGATAGACAGACGGATAGATAGATGGACAGACAGATAGATAGACAGACAGACGGATGGGATAGAAAGATGGATAGATAGATAGACGGATAGACAGAGAGACAGATGGACGGGATAGAGAGATAGATGGATAGGACAGATGGAAAGATGGATGGATGAATGGATAGATAGACACATGGATGGGATAGATGGATGGATGGATAGATAAGAGAGAGAAGGATGAATAGAGATATAGATAGAGAGAAATAATAAAGATGGATGGATAGCTAGAAATATAAGCAGAGAGATAGATGAAGAGACATAATATAGAAAGTGGGATGGATGGAGATGAGAGATAAGAGATATAAATACAGGGAGGGATAGAAGTATAGATGGATAGATGGATAAATAGAGATAATAGACAGGGATGGATAGAGGGAAAGCTAGATGCATAAATGTTTGGAGAAAGGGATGGATGGGTGGATAGAGATACAGATGGAGAGATAGATGATTAGAGACAGTAGAGAGAGGGATAGATGGAGATATAGATAGATGGATAGAGAAAATAGGTAGATGGATGGATGGATGGACAGTTGGACAGATATACTTGCTGGCTTCTCTATTAGAACACAAGGTCGTTGTGAGTAAAGACTGTTTCACTCTCTGCACACATACCCACAATGCCTATGCAGTGCTTGGCATGTGGCAGCTGGTAGATATTAATTATGAATACACCTGTCTAGGTACATGCGCTCTTCCAACAGACACAGTTCTTGCAGGTAGGGATTCTCCCTTTTGCCTTTGTATTCCCAGTGCCGAACCTGGCATCTCTCCACACACACTTGATAAATTCTTGTGGATTGTTCTGCATCAGGGTCATGTGAAGGACCGTTTGACACCGCCTTTGATTGGATCCGAAAAGAGAGAACTCGCCACGGGGAGCTGGTCGTGAGCTTTAGCACATATTTTTTCCGCAGCGGCTGGTATTGGCTTTATGAGAACCGCCACAACAGGACCCGCTATGGGGATCCAATTCTCACCCCCATTGGATGGCGCGGAATTCCCTCTCGTGACATTGATGCTTACGTCCACGTGTGGACATGGAGAAGAGATGAACGTTACTTTTTCCAAGGTGTGAGTTCCGTGGGGGTGGTTCCATTTCTCCCTTATCCAGCAATTTGATTAAGCAGGTTTTTATGGACTGTGTTCTCTGTGCACAATCCCATCGAACCTTGGGAGAAGCCCATCCCAAAAGCACAGGCTGGAGACAGTGGAGTCCTCGTCCCCAACCATGGCGGCCACTGTAGATCAATGGCAGACTTAGAAAAGAAAAACCAACTAAGTTAATTTGATCTTACCGATAATTCCAAAAACCTGATTCTGTTAGCTTCTCAGTCTTGATGACAGAGCCTGGGGTGTCCTCCATCTGTCTCCCCAGATCCTCTAACAGCTCCTGGCATGTGGTGAGGGTGGGGCACGAGCCTCTGTCCAGGTCTGAGCACTTCTGGGGTGTTATGGTCAGATCAGAGGCCACCTTCCAGATAGGGCACTGACAATCTGGAGTGTGTCCAGAGAAAGTTAAGCAAGGTGGAGAGAGGGCCTCAAGGGAGCTCCCCTAGTACAGCCGCCATGCCTCGCACACAATGAACGCTCTTAATAAATGTTAGAGACCACGGAAGAATTGGGTACGCTTAAAGAAGGGTTGGTGTGTGGAGGGGCACGTTACAGCTGCCGTCTGTGTGTCGGCACGGCTGCTATGGCTTGTTCTTCCGGGCCCAGGGGGCAGTGGCTGACTTTGGCTGGACCCAAAGGCCTTCCTCACCAGGAGAGGCTGTCCAGAAGACAGGGGATCCCAGACGGCCTGGGCTGCCTGAAAGGGAGTGAGCTCTCCTTCAGTGGCCCCTTTTGGTCACTCCAGGGATGATTCCTTTTCAAAAACAGGCTGGACCAGGTCAATACTAGAACTCTACAAGCATTGACCAAAGGAGATAGGCCACATGAAACCATAAATAACAATGTACAGCAGCGGAATGTAAGGTCCCTGAGGGCAGGCCTCGCTCACTTTTTGTCTCTGAACCCCCAGCACCAAGTACCATGCCTGGCACACAGCAGGTGCTCAATACATGCTTTTTGGCTGAAAGTGCAAAAATAAGAAAAACTGATCAGTTCTATCGGGAGCTCAAGCCGAGAGAGAGCGAAATGTTTTGGAGAAGTCTGAGAAGGCCTCAAAGAGCGCAGGCAAAGGGAAAAGGAGGGGATTCTGGGCTGGGGTGGGTGAGGTGGAAAACAAGGCTTGAGGCCGCCATGTTTGTGGGACAGACCCAGCCGGGAGCATGAGATCAGGTTGGGTAGGGAGAAAGGGGGTCAAATGAGAGAACACAACGTGCAAGCATTAATCAGGCACTTGCTGCTGCATTCAAGAGCACTGTGCTGGGCACCAGGAAAGACACAAAGTTCATTTCAGACCCAGTCCCTGCCCTGGTGCTTTGCTCTGGTAGGGGGTTAGGACACCAGCATCTCCTACTTCTAGAAGCCAGTTCTTCTTTTTTTTTTTTTTTTTTTTTTAGGCAATTGGGGCTAAGTGACTTGCCCAAGATCACACAGCTAGTGTCAAGTGTTTGGTCTGAGGTCACATTTGAACTGAGGTCCTCCTGACTTCAGGGTCGGTGTTCTATCCACTGCACCACCTAGCTGCCCCAAGCCTTCTAACCCAAGTCTATCTTTCAGAGGAAGAGCACGACAGTTTCCGTCAGATGCTCTGCTAAAACCCAGGAAAACTATAGCCTTCCCCTGGCGCGGCCCAACAAGGGGCCGGGGTGGGGAAGGCTTCCCTTTCTGTGGTCGCTAACACAGAACTTTAATTACCCTTTCTACAAGTTGTTGCCAGAAGCTGAAGTTAAGCTTGTTGTTCTACAATGTGGAGACTCCCTTCCGGCCCCTTTCTAAACACTTGGGACACTCGCTCCACTCCAGGCTGCCGGAGTCCCCCTCGGGGGTCGGCCCCCTATCCGCGCCCCCCACACGCACACCCTGGGGAACCTGAGACACCTCAGCTACCACGTGGAGGATGCGCACCCAGGAGGAACCAGAGAGGTGGTTTGGTCCGTCCCCCACGGGGAGCCTGAGGCCCGGGGAGGGCAGAGCGGTGGCCCTGACTCTGCTCACCCAGAATGGCCCGCAGTTGGGAGCCAGGGAGGACTCAACACAAGGAGAAGGGGAGTCACAAACACAAAAAGGGGGACTCCCGCCATTGCCCCAAACTCGCAAAATCTCCCTTCCCCTTCGCCCAAGCAGAAATGAGTACTTCGATTAGAAGCAGCGCGCAGATGACGTCATAGCCTGGGACCAGGGTTTCTACATTTCCAAGTCTCCCACGGCTTGAAGCGAATCTTTCAGCGCTGGAAATCCCTCACGTACAGAATCTTAATTGTGGAGTGCGCCTCTCGTGGGGGGCTGCTCCAAAGCAGCTGCCTTTTAGAGGCGGGCTCGATAAACCTCTCAATCTCGTGGAACGCTTAGTGCAAGCTTAATTAGGAACGGGTACTTGAGGGGCAGCTAGGCGGCACAGGGGACAGCCGCCCGCCCTGGAGTCAGGAGGACCCGAGTTCAAATCCAGCCTCAGACACGTACCACTCACCAACTGTGTGACTCCGGACAAGTCACTTACCCCAATGGTCTCACCAAAATAAAAAGGGTACTTAAGTAGCCCCACCTCCAAATGGTCATCCCTTTTTAATACAAGTGTTCTCAGTGCTGTACCTTCTCCTTCATACATAGTCAATCAACTCTTTGATCATTGATGAATTTAAGACATTTTTGTAGCATGGTTTATGAGCAGTGCTGAATTGCTGGGAGATCTAGGCCATGGCCTGGCTTTGCTGCTAAGACCAGCGAGCCTGGGCAAGTCATTTCACCTGTCTGCCTCAGTTTCCTATCTGTAAAATGGGGACAATAGCAGCACCTGCCTCACTGGATTGTTGGGAGGATGGCACGAGATAGTAATCACGGATGTTTAGCACGGTGCCTGGCACACAGCAAGCACTGCATAAATGTTATCGGTTATTAAAAAGATCCTACAAACAGCACTCTCCGTTAACCTAATCTCAAATCCTTGCCATGTGTGTAGACCTCACAGCAAATAGGAAAGTGTGAGATGACAGGTCCCAGGCAGGTCCCTCGACCTTCCAGCCAGAAGCAGCAGGCTTAGGAATTATCTACCAGGGGTTTCCCCACCCAGCTACACTCCTGTTCACAGAGGCCCTGGAAGGGAAATCCCACGTAGGATTGGAACCCAGCTCTCTTGCATCCCTGGCATTTCCACGGCATTGGATATGCCAGAATAAAATAATGCTGAAGGCTGATTCAGATAGACAGAGTGAAGACATACAGCAACAACAGAGACAAGAATGATGAGCGTGCATGGGAAACCAGCGCTCCACAAAGCTGGGAATAACCCGGGTCCCAGGGGCTTCAATGGGCACCACAATGGAACACTTCTTACTCCGCTCCTCTGCCCGGTTATCAGGGAATCACTACTGGAGGTATGATGGTGACCATGACCGAGCCTACGCAGAGGATGAACGAGGGAGGAGCTATCCCCAGCTCATCTCGGAGGGCTTTCCTGGCATCCCAAGCCCCCTGGACACGGCCTTCTATGACCGGAGGACCCAGCTCATCTATTTCTTCCGAGGGTCTTTGGTAAGTGGAAGGCCTCCTCTTGGGTGGTGTCTCCAAAGCCCACTGCATCTTGAGTGCGCAAGATGATGGGGTCTTGCCTCGCTTTTCTTTGTGCTCTGCAGGTGTTTGCATTTGATGTGGACAGACACCAAGTGGACAACTCTTATCCAAAGAGGATGGTTGACGCTTTCCCGCCAGTAGCTCCCCCAAACCATCCTTTCAGGGACATAGACTCAGCCTACTTCTCCTACGCACACAGCGCCATTTTTTTTTTCAAAGGGAATGCATACTGGAGAGTGGTGAATGACAAAGACCGCCGGCAGAATTCTTCACTGGCTTTCAACGCGCTGTTTCCCAAAGAGTACATCTCTCAGAAGTGGTTCGACATTTGTGACGTTCATCCTTCCACAGTGAAGATGAAGGAGCAAAACGCAGACAGAAGTATTGGCTAGGAAACACTCAGGTAGAAAGGAAAAGGGGGGTTTGTAAGAGCACCCCCAAGAGTCCACCAAGGTGGGGCCCAGGCACCTCTCCTAGACACACGCCCAAAGGGAACAGCTTGTGCTGGCAGCTTCTGGGAGCAAGGCTGGACCGTACAAAGGGCAGTGGGAGGGACAAGTCCCTGGGGCAAAGAACGTTAGTGATCGAGGGGAGGGAAACTGGTCATGCCACGACACAAATCGTGGACCTGGTGAAAATGCGTACAGTGACGCTGAGGCTGGCACCAGAAGCCACGAGGCCCTGCACAAAACACAAAGGTGCCTTTTGGTCCTTAACTGTCATTTGAACTTTCTTTGAAATTGTAGGGGAATGCTATAGCGTCACAGGATTTTAGAATCCCAAGAGATACTGGGATCTTTAGTCAAAAATCCCTCCTTCCTTTTAGAGAAAGAAACTGAGGTACAGGGAAGGGACACAGTGGCTGTCAGGATTTGAACTCAGAGCCTTCTGACCCCAGATGCCAAAGACTTTTCAGAACCCCACAGTACTATCACTAACTTCCTTTTCTGAGTAGCTTTCCCAGTTCACTTTAATGCACTAATTCTCCTTTTTTAGGATCGGATGGCAACTTGGAGCAGAATAGGCTTGGATCTCAAAGCTCATTTTGGAAGCTGGCTGACCGGATTTTTCCCATTAAGAACCACAACAGGGACATAAAAAGACCATTTCTCATCTAAAAAAAAAAAAAATAAGCAGAGCTACAGTGTTTGATGTGGAATGACTTTGATGGAAGATTGTCATTGGGAAGATGGGACACTCAAAGAGTGAAAAACCCCATCATGCCAAATTCATACGCATGCATTTGCCCCTTATAGAGGACATTGTATTGAAAGGGCTTTCCATCAGAAATGCAGCAGCAGACGCTCAGTACAATTAAAGAGGGCAGTGACCACTGACCCTCAGACCTTGCCCTGAAGACAGCTGGGATAGGCTGAGCTGGGCAGGCAATGGGAATGATGGTCAATGCCACGTTCCTTCCGTCATTAAAATGCTCCCTGACAAAAACAAGCCAAGGAGAGATGTTCTCCACTGCAGTCTGAGGGTCTCGGTCCTGGCCTGGAAGTGAGCAAGGCAGGATGGAGTCCCTGCCCCGCTGTGACTCGACCGGCTGGGTGAGCTTGGGAGAACACCCCAACTCTCTAGGCCGGACCTGGGGATTTCTGGGGGGCCTCCCAGTCCTAACGTTGTTTCTGAGATGGGATGTTCTGGGAGATTTCGGTTCACAGACTGGCACAAAAACCCTCATAGCACAGACATGGCATTACCAAATGCCCAGTATCTAGGGAAAGAAACATTAATGCTTCCTAAGGGTGTTTTGTGTTTGTTTTTACTGTTATTAGCTACAAGGAGA